ATGATGGGAGTCGGTTTATTGTGCTGATCCATAGTAACCAGCTCCTGTTCCTCCATCATTTATCTCCCACCCCAGTGACATCTGGGTTAGTCTATTCACACTCTCAGCACTCTATCTGCTCCAACAAACACTCAGCCTTTTCTGCTTGGATAAGGAGATTTTTTTCATTACATCCATTATATGTGTATCAACATTTATGGCAGCAAGATAATTGTCAAAGAACTCAGAGGATAAAAGGTCCTTCTTCATAATGTCCACTCCTATCCGTTTTTTTCTAAAAATCAATATTAACGTCAAGCAGGACACTGGCAGCTTCTTGTACTGCTGCTGCATCCTTAGAGTAGGAAACATGTTCTTTACAAAACATTGCACCTAACTGGAGGGTTAAGAAAAGGTTTAGCATTGAGTTCTGAATCCATATCCCTGTGGGGAATCCGAAGCTCTCTTCTGACCTCTGCAGCATTGCACGACATGGGTGCACTCACATACATGCAGGCAATACTCTCATTCACATAAAATAAAAATAATAAATAAAATATTTTTTAAAAAAGAGTCTTGTTTGTTGGGTAGCAGATGACGTCAGGGCCTTGGGGGTGAGAGTGGTGGCTAAACAGATAAGGCGGCTGCAGGTGTCCAGCATAGGCTGTGCACTCAGTGAGGGATGGGCGTGGAAAAGCAGGGGCGTTACACTCGGCAGGTGGCCTAGAAATTTCAGCATTGGGGTAGAATGTCTTCCTGAGCCTCCTCTCCCCATCCCCAAATGCCCTCCCTCCGGGGTCTCCTCCTAGGCTAGAGTGCCATGGCGTCTGAACTGCCTTCCACCAGCATCCATTCCCAGCCATGGATGAAGATGGCTAGGGTTGGGTGTGAGGTCAGAGCCTCCCAAGGTCCTAGGAATGATCCCGAGCCAGACAAGTGATATTCCCAAGAGGGAACCCAGCTTGGGACTCAGCAAGTTAAGAGCCCATCTGGAAAAGTGGTTTGCTTTCTTGCTTTATCGAGGGAGTCAGTTTCTGCTTCTAGAAACTTCTCTCTGACCCGTTCCCACTACTTCTCTGCTCGGTTTTGAAACTGACCTTTTTAAATTTTTTTTCTTTTAGACATGGCCTTGCTATGTAGTCCTGGCTGGCCTGGGCTGTGCTGTGTAGACCAAGCCGGTCTCAAACTGTCAGTAGTTCTACCTCTGCTTTCAACTGTAAGGGTTTTTTTTTGTTTTGAGACAGGGTCTCTCTGTACCCCCAGCTGGCTTGGAACTCACTCTGTAGACCAGGCTGGCCTCAATCTCACAGCGCTCCATCTGCCTGCTTCTCTCTCCCAAGTACTGGGATTAAAAGTGTGAGCCACCACTGCCAGCAACTTTAAGTTTTAAAATTTTTATTCTGTTTATTACTACTGTACGTGTGTGTGTATTGTACATGCATGCCATGGCACACCATGTGTATGTAGACATCAGTTCTCTCCTTCCACTGTGGGATTCTGGGATTGAACGAACTCAGGCCATCGGGTTGTGCAGCAAGTGTTTTTTTACTGAGCCAAGCCTGATCCCGTTTTTTTGTTTGTCTTGTTTTGATTCGGGATCTCCTGCAGTCCAGGTTGACCTCAAACTTCCTATGTTGCTGAGAATGACTTTAAACTCCTGATCCTCCTGCCTCTACCTCCCAAGCGCTAAGATTATAGGCATATGCCACCACACCCAGTTCAATTCCTTTTTCAATTCCAAAATTTATTTGCATTTTTAATTCAGAAACAATTTCAAGCAAGGAAATATCAGCTCTTCTCCAAGAATGAGAAAAGTGCTTTGACAGCGCTCACTGTCTACAATGCACCATGCCCCACACTGACAGGCACCAATTGAAAAAGCACTAAGGGAAAAGCGAAGCGAACAGGTTTAGACCCTGTTAAGCATGAAGGTCAAGGTTCAACAAGGTCAGTGGCTTCAGGAAACACATCACATCACAGACTTCACAGCAGAAAACCACACCTATGTCCGTCTGTCCTGACTATCCTATTCTTTTAAATCAGAGGAGGTAGTGTTTGGGAAGGGGTCTTTGTAGTGTGCAGAATATCGAGCATTTAGAATTAATACACTGAGGGATGAGATGATGGCTCAGTTAGTAAAGTCCTTGGGCAAACATGAGGATGTGAGTTCTTATCCCAAGCACCCACAAGTGCTGTGATGCAGGGTATCTGTAACCCCACCACTAGAGAGGTGAATTCAGTCAAAAGGATCCCTGGAGCTTGCTGACCAGCCAGTCTAGCCAAACCAGTGAGCTCGAAGTTCAGCGAAAGACCCTGTATCAAAAATAAAGTGGAGCAGCAATTGAAGGGAACACCTGGTATTGAAATCTGGCACACACACACACACACACACACACACACACACACACACACAGGACTTCAACATCAGATTAAATGGGAATGGAGGAGGGAGTGGAGATTGCAAAGATCAGGACCTCTAGAGACCCACCAGCCCTAGTTATGGGCCTGCCTACTTTTTATTTGTCACTTTTTCTTACCAGTATCATTACCTTTCCTGAGGAACTTCTGGAAGAAAGAAGTGGACCACTTTGGGGGAGCCGAGAGAAGCATGCTCAGGATGTGAGAGGTTAATTGTAATATTATACTTTAACATTCCACAGGCAGGCACTAGTTTTCCCAAGTATTTTTTTTTGAGGGGCCGGGGAGCAGGTGTAAGGCACAGAACCTAGTAAACGCCTCAGTCCAATTAAAAGGCTGATGAACCTAGGTGCTAGGCACTGCATCTTCACAGAAGCAGCAGGCCGTAGCTGGTCCACAGTGGCACTAGTCCTCACTGCCTGGCCAAGACTACCCAGGAGGTGGTTGCTGCAGCACCTCAAACAAAGGGCACCCCTCGGAGAGTTTGTCTCCGTGTGTGTGTGTGTGTGTGTGTGTGTGTGTGTGTGTGTAATTTGACAGGAGGGAACGGAAAGGAAGGATAGAGCTACACTGCAAGGTAGTTAAAGCCTCCAAGGCATCACTAGTGTCTGTACCGCCTACAGGCGCGACAGCCACCCCAAGCTTTTTGGCTGAGAGGGGCGCCCGGCGCAAAGCGAAACCGAAGAAAGGGCGCCCCCTATGCCCAAGCCCTGCGATCGTAGGGGCCAGCAGCATTTGCCCACCCCGAGGAGCGTTCGCCGCCTCCTGCCCAGCTCCTGCAGGCTCACTGTGCAGCCAGCCAGCCAGTCTTGGCTGCGGTAATTTAGGGTGTCCAAGGCCATCAGACTAAGCGCTTAGCGGCGTCAGGAGCAGGGGCTGTCCGGGACCTCCCGGGTTCCTGCATAGGGTCCTCAAAACACAGATTCCCCCCTCCTCCATCGCCACTAGTCCTCCTGTCCCAGGCGGCTCAGAGCCACTTGGAGCCTGCCTCCCCCGCCCCCTGCCTCTG